TGTTTTATGTCTCCATAAAAACGATTCGCCGACGGTCTAGATCATTAAATATTATATTCTAATTTTTTATCAACGCATTTTTCTGCTCTGCATAGTTTCATTCGCATATCTATTATTGCGCTCATTTGCAAAGCAAAATTTTTCCATAACACGAAAAAATGTCGACGAGATGTCACCATATGCAAACTGGACCGCAAAATTTGTATCATCCTTTTGTAATACTAAGTATTTTTTTATATTCTCAACTAAGATATTTTTGTCACTTGATATTTCTGTAATTATAATTAACCAATTATACTTAAAAAAGTATTACAATGTTTTAATTTCATTTATTCTTTGCTGGCGCAATTTTATTTTTCTTTGGTATAAAAGTGAATTTATCGCGATGAGTCGTTAATTATGTTAAATAAAATGATTACAGAAGCGAAATGTGGTAAATCTCCCGCGGTGCTGCAGAACGCAATTAATCGGAACGCGGTATAAATCTACTTAATTAATAAGCGCAATGCAATCTAGCGTCCCGAAGTGTCTCGACGGTACTTTCAAATCCACTTTCAGCACATGACACGCACGATATTTTTATTTAATGCAAGCGTGATTACCGTACTCAATATCATTTGCTTGTAATCATAAAAGGGACATTAAATCGTAAGCGATACGCTCAAATGATTAATAAGTCACGATATGCCCAAATGACTAATAACTCGCGATACGAGAAAATAGTCCGTTCATGTGCCGCATCGGTGTATACTTATCATTCATTTTCTAATGCATTTTCTAATCACAGTATTTTGTAACAAACCTTAATAACTTATTTTTCAGAATCGTATTTAAAAACTCACTTTTATTAATGTAATAAATTTTCATACAAAGCATTAGAATTATATCTCAATTAAAATTTAAAAAATAAGAATATAAATCAAAAGTTAAAATAAATCCCTTTCGCATATGAAATAAAACTTTCAATTTTTTAAAACGAAGATTAGTCTTAAAATGTATATAAAATTTTTTGTCCTATAACAAAAGATATAATTTAAAGTTTTCAGTAAAAAAATATTAAATATTTAAATTTGTTAAAATGGAAAAATTGTTTCGTCAAATCCTTCAAATCCTGCGAATTACAAAACGCCATTTATATATTGGAAATAAAAAGGTACAGAAAGGAAGCTTCTCAGAAATATTATATCCATTTCCCAATTTTGAAGATTAAGAATTCAGTTTCATAAAAAAATTTCTTTTCGCTTTAACTACTTTCGCGCAAAAAAACGTATTAAATTCTTAATTCATTAAATATTATTTTTACTTGGAAAACATCGTACAGTCGTGTAGCAGAAATTACGCACATTACACAATTACGAAAAAAAGCACAACTAGTTACGTCTACATGAATATGACAATGTGCATTTTGCGTATATGTGAAAGAAAAAGACTGCTATTATAGTTACAATATTTCATCTAATTATTGTTAACCGCATTTCCAATTCATAATCCAGTATGTTATGTTATGTTACATTATCAATATAATTTAACGAGCTCTCTGAAAACAATTCATTAACGAGTTGTTAATGTCGTGATACTTACAACTAAACAATAGCATAATTCACTACTGTAATCGTTAATTTATGTCATATCACACGTAGACACAGTTGCAATTAAATATATTTAACAAGTTATGCGAAGTAGCCACATGAGAGCCAATTGAATGAGGTAATGAGTGTAAATGTCAAAAATTGCATTAATATATATTGTATTATTAAACGGGTGATCTAGTTATGTTTTTAACAATTAAACAATTACTGCGGTCATTTCTGCAACACTCACACATGCATAGTACAAATTATATTTAATAATATTATAATTATTATTAGTACAAATTAAATTTGTGAAAGTATCTTGCGGATCACATTTGTCGAGTTAAATTTTAATCCAAATAAGAAAAACCAGTTTCTTAAAAGTTGACTGACTAAATCTTATTTAAATTATTCATTAATAACCTTTTTCAAGAAATGTGTCCTTCATGTTATGGTAAATTAGGTTTACAATCGTGAAATTGCATAACGTTGTTGCAAGTTTGATTTGAAAAATTGTGCAATTAATAATATGGTAATAAAAATGAATAATGTAACATATGTGAATCCTATGCACTACTATGTTATAAAAATAACATTTCAATCTTCAATAATATTTAGAATTTATATATATATATAAATCTAAGGTAATAATAATATCAATTTAAATTTACACACGACAATGACAACACAAAATTCTGCGTGATGTCGTATCTCTCTTTTCATACCGTAAAAATTAATATAACTCATTTTAATAAAGGATTTTTGTATATCTCAGTAGCTAGCATGCATAGCTAGCGTATGTTAGCTTCAACTTTTCTAATTATATGTAGTAATTTTTAAAGCATAAATAAAATAAAAATTTTAGTTCACTAATTAGTGTAGGAACTAATTAAATTCGGCACATTATTCATAATGGTATTTTTTGAAACAAGACCACTAAAATTAATAAATACACAATTTATTTATTTTTTTTTCAGTGTATTTATTAAATCTATCATTTTTATTGATACGTAAATATATAAGTTGATACGTAAATATATAAGTTCTATCATGCTTAGAAAATTTCTTTAATCTGCAATTATATTATAAATATATATACAGCAATGTATCCTGGCCGTATTACTACGCTATCAGCTCCGCGTTTCCGTAATTCCCAGAGGATTATGTAGCCATATGCGTAAGTAAAGCTTTACATGTAAGATTTATAAAATGAGAAAACTATGTGAATGGATGTTGAGCTACTCGGTATACCTGCAATATTAAATTTTAAATCATTTTTATATATGCCTGCTTTTGTATATTTTTTGAACGTATATAATTCGTGCAGAATTCAAATGCAAGCAATGACGTAATTTATTAAGATATAATGATATTCTTGATGCAGCACCTTTTTCATATATTACGTGCTTCTTCTGTTCTAACTGTGCTACATTATATATTTATTTTTTCAATATTTTAACGGTGATATATCATGTGTCGACGGGGTCGAGACCCTATCCATCAATTTTCTACATCAGAAAAATCCTAGTTCATCACTTCATTACAGGTTACTACTAAAGATTTACCGTATTAAAAAAATATAAAATAAAATTTTGAAACAATTCTTATAAGTTATCATTACTACACATTTTTCTACATCTCAAATTTTCTTAAAAAATCTCAAATCGGTTACTTTGTATAGAAATTAATAAAGTGATACTAATGCTTTAGATAAATAAAAATAAAAAATATATAGCATTTTAAAATATAAATATAATATTTAAAAGTTTTTACATTACGTTATAGGCATTACAGGAAGAAAGTGGTATTGAGAGATTGGGAAAGTTGAAGAATGGAAATAATATAACATATGCATATCATTCACATAAATAATAGATATTTTATTTGCAATACTGTAACAAAGACACTTTAATATTTTTATTAATTTAATATTTTAAAAAGTTCATGATATCCACGATGTATGCATTGTGTTCCAAGAAACCTGTCAACAATAAAACAGTCAAGATTTATAATACGGTAAATTGTATGAACATAATACGTTGATAATAAAGATTTACATCAGATTGAATTAATAGTAAATAGAATAATCACAACGACTCATACGAAAGATGGTGATAAATAGGTCATCATTAAGTGTCTATACAGAATATATTAATTGCGACATAAACATTAAACTCACCATATATAACTTTTAAGTGTGTGTAATCCAATGAATCTGTCAACATTAAAACAGTTCACAATTAATAATGCTGTGAATTCTTAAATACTTCGTGATTTAATGATCAAGTTTCGTCAGATAGAGCTAATATACGAATAATCACAACGATTCATACGAAAGATGGTGATAATGAAATCATCATAAAGTATAATTTATGTAAATATATAAAATGTCACAAGTATTAAACTTACCATGTATAAATTTATTTTGTATTTATATGCCATATCCTTATATTGTATTGCATTATCCTTGATAATATATTCTCATCGCAATTTCTTCTATAATATATATGACAGTAATTAATTATTATCTCTACATAATTATTTAAGATTTTATATATATGCTAGTTTCTAGATTTTTCTCAGTGGTAGTGACGAAGTAGTATATATATCATGATTATTTTTCATATACTTTTATATACATCATTGAAATCCACGCATATGTTGTAATAAGCGCTAAGGTGATGTTTTCATTTTTGTGCAATGTATTTTAAATATAGCATTCACAATAAATTAAAAAAAAAACATTTACTACGTACTTATATTATATATTACTTACATTATTATATTACGACTCCACATCCGACTTGAGATTACATCCAAAATTGTGCCTAAAATATAAAAATTATTATTAGAACCATTTAAACATCAATGCATTAAAAAAATATATACATAAAAAATCAGATAGGAGCGAAAGACAATAATACTCAATGGTCGTCACAGATTTGTCAGTTGAACTATGATAGTCATCATTATATTAGGCAAAATTAAAAGTGAGTTAATATATACAGTAATTAAAAATTTAATTAAAATATATACCTTATCGATCGTTGATTGCATTTTTTATAAGAATTTATGCCATATTTGATTAAGATTTTTCATCAAATAGTATTTTTAGACACATTTGTATCTCTTGATATATCATCCATATCCTTTTGTAGTCCGTAAAAGTTGTTAAGTATTTTCTGCAATTAAAAAATAAATAGAAATTAAAAAATTAACGAATAAAAAATGGTATAATTCTATTAATAGTAGAATCAGCATACTGCAGGTTGATTCGTCATAAAATCGGATCGATAAATCAGTTCATCATTTCATATTATTATATAAATAAATAATTAAAATAGCAATTTCAAAATATAATAATTTTCTGTATATTTTAAAATACAAATTTTTCTTGTAAAAATTTAAATTTTGAATAGAACAACTTACCATCGAAGTACATATTGCTTAGATTTTTTATGTTGCATTATATGTAACATCGAGAAGATTCCAATAAATTCCAATTTTCTGAAAATAGAAATAAATGCACTGTAGAAAGACTTAAATGGATAATTTTATACATATTTTACATAAGTAATATAATCAGATAGGAGCGAAAGACATTAATGCATATATATTCATCAAAATTTGTCAGATGAACTATGGAATCATCATAAAATTTTTTGTAATTATAGAAAACTCCAATACATTAGAATGTGTTATTAATGTTAACCAAAATAGACTTACAATGTTATTATTGCATATTCAAGATTTCTTGAACTTTGCTTGCACAAAAATTCTCGGAACATCAATGTTCTCCTTCACATTCACTGTACGTCTCTGTATATAGCTGCAATCTAATGTTTGAAAGCCAACAGACTGAAATAAATCTGCTACTTGTTCTGCGGAGAAATAATAACTCCTGGAATCGAAAAGACATCCTTTCCTTAATATAATCAATAGAATAAAACTGTATTATAAACTGTATTATAAAAATTTCATTTTATTGCAGTCAACTTGACGCTACAAATGTTTCGAAGCGTTCTTTTTCTTCTTTTCAATGAAGAAGAAGAATGCTTTGAAACATTTGTAACGTTAAGTGGAGCGCAGCTTACATAATCATTTTATTTCTGTTTAAATAAAAGAAAAAATGATTATCACCTGGTTCCATCTTGCCGCATGTAGAGATTCTCACTTATCTTGTGTCCCGGCTTAAAACGTAACTGTGCCATATCATACAATCCATAATCTCGAAAAAGTAACATTCCTCCGCTACCAAGAGCATTGTACATGTTTTGAGCAACTCTAAAAAAATACAAAATAATTCAAACAATTAATAACTACAGCTTTAATAATATTAGAGCTTTAGAATAACCTTTATTAAGGTATTTAACATACTTCTGAAATTTATCAGGATGAATAGCAGATAATACAAAGATGAGAGTAGCTACATCAACTGGACATTCAATTTCAGAAAAACAATTCTCTAACGTAACATCTGCTTGAAAAGCTTTCATTGTTTCTGGATGGAATAACGTGTGACTCTACAATAAAATACGTGATAAACGATTACTGATAGGCAATTACATTCCAATTAATTTCCAACCATGGCTCATTCAATATACCTTGAACAATTCGATTGCCTTTGTGGATAAATCGCACGCAAATATTTTACGAAATTTTAAACCATCTTCCATTAACGGATATACAAAATTCCCAACTCCGCAGCCCACTTCGAGGAGACCATTTTCACTCTCTTTGCCGCCCAAACCCAGCAACTCGTCGAATTCTCGCGTGGTCCAGTGTCTATCTTTGAAGAATCTAGTATCGTTCCGTTTGTAAAATAAATCCCAATGCTTTTTAGCATCTCTCTCCAGTTGATTCGCACGAAATTCAGAGACTAGCCGAGAATTCTGCGCTTCCATTCTATCGATTTCCTCCGGCGTGAGGCGCTTGGCCACGTGGCCCACGTGCGAGGTATCGTTTTCTATTGATTTGCTCATTTTTTCTCGCTAATTATATCATCAAAATAGTTAAAATCGCAAAGGAAAAATTTATTCGTCAATTTATGTCCTCGTAAAAAACTCAATACTTTGTTATAAAAGAATCTCTTACTTGTAAAGAGCGAACCCATGTTCTCTCGTTGAGATGCCCAGAGGAAATGGACGAAGAACATGCGGTGCGAGGCGGCGTCGGTTGCAACGTTGTATGCGACGTTGCCACGACGTAGAGGCAACGTGACCTGACACGTGATCTATAGGCGCAAAATTTTAATGAAATATTCGGAAAAGAATGTAATTCAAAAAGAACAATATTTAAATATATACATATAAAGAACAAAATTTAAATATTTGTGATACTCTTCAAATTGAATAAAAAATAACTTAGGTTAATTAATTTAGATTCAAATTATTTCTTATAAATAATAATTTCCTTCTTCGATAATGTAAATTATCCATTTGCATCTATTTTTCGCATATATTAAAATTAAGAAATAATAAAAATTATGTAAATTAATATATCTCATATATTATTTTATCACTTAAATATATTTATATATTAGAGTAATTTTGATCTTGATTTAATTCAGGGGAATTGATAAATTTGTTCGATTAAATCTTCTGAAGTACTACTTGACCAAAAATTCAGGGGATTTAATAAATTTGTTCGATTAAATCCTCTGATGTACTACTTGACCAAAAATTAAATAGGCTTCTCTTTGCACGAAATCAATATGAATTCCGCGTGCATACACGTTTATTCGATTATCATGCAGAACCCGTAGGGTACAAATATTTTATGCTATCGTACAGCATTGGCATACAGTGACATACTATTAAAGAGGGCTGGGCGTGACTAAAATTCAATCAACAAGATTGCAACATCATTTATCGCGATGTATAAAACGAGAAATTGTTACTGATAACGTAAATATTACATATCGCGATAAATATTAATGCAGCATTCAAAACCGCTCCACAAGTTCGCATAAATAATGTTTCAGTTTATCATCCCTTTTACATCGCACGTGTTTTCCATATTATTCAACGTATTTTACGATTCATGAAGAATCTATAATGTGCAAACCGAACGTGGTCGAAAGACAATGAATCGATTGATAGTATATAGGTCATTGCAGACCACAATTGTGTCGAGAGCTTCGCAGGAGATATAAAAAGCATAGATTACCTGAATGGTATGAGAAACACGTTTCGCAATACGCAATCATTAATGCCTCGTGGAGTAACGTCATTTCGCACTTTTTATGCGACCATCCTTCATGGCCGCTTTATAACTGCATATCTTGCGCTGAACATTAAAATATATCGCAATTAAAATCGCTCTTTTGCACATTGTATTCTAGCGCAATCAGATCAAATCGATTGCGTGCGTTCATCTTTATTTTTTTATCATTTTATCCAATCGTATAGACTTTGAAATGTTTCTATTAAATTTTTACAATAATTTTTAATATATGACGAATTGATAACTTGAATGTAAGTTTTAAATACAAGCACAATAAATGATCAAAAAGGTGTCGGCAGATTGAATATTCGTTCAAATTTCATTACGATAAAATTTTTGCACGAAAACGTCATTAAAATCGAGATAAAACGTCGAAAGGTGACGTTAAATATATAGCTTTTTAAAAATTGATATCACATATCCATAAATGATTATATTGATATCAGCATTTTGTATGAAATGCGTGATGGACAGGCGATCAAATTACATGAATAATTCGCATTGAAGCCGCCGAACAGCCAGCTATGTTATAAATATCGAATTTACGATACGTTTGCTAACGTACGTGATTTTGTTTCAGTGCTATTGCTCGAAAATTTATCTCGCTAATTAGCAGATCGTCCGGGCATGCTAAAGCGCGTTTTCGCATCGGCTTTCATCCGCGCGCGGTTAACGCACAACGGCGATTGTGTGTGCATAATCATAAAAATAATCCTCGTTCTGGGGAAAGCTCTCGCGAGATTGAGCGCACTTCGGCCCTCACGAGAGCGATCAAGAGATTATCCGGACTCCTCCCGCCACCGACCGGCGTTATTACGCTCCCGTGCGATTTACGCAGTTTCAAATCCCACTAATGTTTCCATTAATGCCATCGTGGATCCTTTTTGGAATTTTTTCGCGGGATGAATTACGAAGATTAACTACGGTCGTTGTTATCCGCAGATTCTCTCGTTTTCTCGTCCGAGTTACCTTTACGTATACTGCCAAAAGGATGAAAAAATGTCTCAAGCAAAATAAAAGAACAAATATAATGTAAGGTAAGTAATGATAGGCAATTAGTTTTACAGCAGATAATGCTTTCCACAAATTTTTTCAGCCATTAATATTAGGATCTAAGAGCATTGATATTGTACTTTGTACTCTTGAGTGTACAAAAAGATTGTATACATTATTAATTAATTATGTTATTTCTATCGGCAACTCTGTAATCCAACTAACTAATGAATTTTTCTTGCGCCCTGACATTCGCGCTTTCATTCTTATATAGACATTTTCTCAATTTAATTATTTTGTTAATTTTTATATAACCAACATGTTAATGTATAGTGAAATATGCAAGGTAACATTCAACGGCGGTAGTATTTGAAGGATGATCTACGTGTTATATCATGCGTTGCACGCCTACTTAATGACTGCTTATTCATTATGAAAAGAATGTGCGCAATTGTTTATAGAGCAATACCGTGGGTGCTTCCCACGATTTATGCAATTGTGTTACACATGGTCTACGAAATGATAATTACTTCTCATAACGTCAGACACGCAACGGATAGATTACATCGCATTGCTGTATTGTGCGTGGTGACAAAGATTTTATCTCTGACGTAATACATTCACTTTGGAAATGCCGACGGATGAATGATACACGCACCTGATAATTTCCTTTTTTATAAGAATGCACAACGTATTTTAATTATTTATAAATTTCACATAAATATTGATGCATAAAATCAAATAAAAAATAGAATTAAAAAGATCTGTCTTCAGCAATGTATAGGATTGTACAAATTTTTCCGCCTGTGTCGTTTAATATCGTGAAATACAGTCAACGTGTAAAATGATCAAAATTAATAAATAAAATGTGCAAATGTATAATTGTCCGATGAAAAATTAAACTTACACAATTATTAATATAAATAATTACTAACAGTTAATATATAATTTTTAATAAATATCTACTGATGCAAATAGAATATCAGCAAATTGATTTTTGAAAACGCGGTGCGGTCAACCAATGTACATAAATTCTTTCACATTTAAATTAAACACACGCATAATGAATAAATTGCATGCGTGATTAATGACCAACGAAATGATGTAAAAATATATGGAATGGAAATATTTACAATATTCCACACTTGCGACTCGTCTCTTTCCCGAGCCGCTTACTTTACATAGCTATTCAATGCGCGGTTACAAAATCACAAATGCCAGAGGCGACACGAATGATTGGCAAGCGAACGATTTCATTACATCGTATTGCAAACTTTTAATTCGCACATCATCCATCAATATAAAATATAATAACTATTCGATATTTTGCATTGCCTTTACATTTGTGCACTAATTTCTGTTGCTGCAGTTTTTTTTTAACAACGTTGACGAGTATAACAATATTGGAAAATCTACAACGATTTTGTAACAGAAACGTAGATTTACCTCGAACAATGAAACGATACAAAGCTTCGAATCCATTCCATTATCTTTCATCGCTTGCTTTGAGCAACGCGTTCTAAGAATTCCCGTATAATAGCCGTTCAATTTCGAGTATATCTCCATGACAATCAATGCATCTCAATTATTACGGTGCGATGCATGAGAGGCGCGCACGTGACCGTAGGCGCGGCGGCGGAGGCACGAAGATGCCTCCTCGCCGTGCCTTTTCCATTCCGCCGAGGTAGGCACGGCCGGAGAGTATCGCATATACCGTTCCTCTTCGCGGGCATTCCAAGCGGGAATTCTCGAAAGCCAGTTGTGTTGTAGAAACCGCGGCGTGGCTCGCCGCTCGCCGGCACTTTCGACCGGTCGTAAAGTCGACGATTTCGCAGCTCCGCGCCGCTTTCAGTAATACGGAATTTCGTCCGGGAAGCGGACGCGACTGTGTCGCGAACTATTGGCAAACCACCCGCAAGACGCCGACGGGCCATCCATAAAATTCTGGTGAGTTATGTGCGCATTTCTATCTGTCCGTCTACCTGCGAAATCGACGGTCACTTCTGCCAGGGACCCATCCTTAACGCTGTATAGAACCGTTCGGCCGTTCAATATTTCAAGCGTCGGCACGTCGATGTTCTCTTCTCAACTAAAATTTACGGCTTAGATTTGTTTTTCCGGAAAAATGTTGAGCGCAAGCATTATGTCCTGTTGATACGTATTGAGATTCGCTGAACGTGCGAATAAGATTCCGTTGAAACTTTTCGCGTTTACGAGCTGCTCGTTCAATGACACGCTCTTCATTGTTTCAAGAGGAAGAGAATAATACGGAAAAAACATTAATTAAAGCCTTGTATCTTATTTCCATTACGTAACATAAATCGAATTCGTATACTGCAAATAACAATTCACGCAAAAATAAGTTGCGCAATGTTTACATGACATTGACATATGCTTAAAACATATTAACGATGACGATAGATTGATTGCAATGCTTTAATAGTAATATATAAGTATTTATTTTTTAAACTAAACTAAATTCGCGCACGCTTCTAATTGTATATCTTTCTTCAGTTCAATTTGAAATCTAGATCATGTTTGAGCACGTTTGATGCTAGTTTCTCGTAGAAAATAGCCATTAAGCGAATTTACGAATGTTCTAATTTTGTCGTTTGTATGTCAAGGACCTTTCAGAAATTTCTCTTCAGCGTTGTCAATGTTTAACTCATGTTAAATCATGTGGACAATTGACAACTTTGAATGACAATTAAAAAGAAAATTGTATTAAAATTTAATTAAAAGTGGAAGTTTATTTTACAGTTATAGATATCTTGCATTCAGAGTTTAACTTTCCAAATTAGCTTTTAACAATCTCAACTTCGACGAAAATGCTTTATCGTTATTTTTAGAAATCCGTCGCTAAATATACGGTGTCCGGATTAATCAGCTTCGACGACGATTTAAAAGAAATTGTATTAAAATCCGGCGGACGTTTATTTTAGACTCGAATAAACAAAGTTTATTTTAGAATCATT